GGCCGCGGCCGTATAGATTCTGTCTGGGAAAATGTAGAAACAAGGAAGACATGCGGTAGTGGAGCGATTCGAATCCGGGACCCCCAGGACACAAGTTGGTGGTGGTCTAACCACTTGGCCACCTAATAGGCCTCCTAATAGGTTACCTGCTTTGACTAGAACATGTTCTAAATACAGCCGAATATGTGACGGACGGTCGCATTGTAACAAAATACCTGATAATGATGATGGCCTTCTTTGAGACAAACAACAACAATAGCCACACCAACAAAACCAGACGTTCACAACTGGTAGACGGTGTCTGTCAAACCTTGGTACACGCGAACCGTACTGACCTCAGGCGATTTACGCTCCCACTTCTGTCGAGCAATCGGGCCGGCCAAAGCTCCGAAATCAATCAGTGCTTTACGCATTTGTGCGTGAAACTGTGTGTTTTCCGGATCTTGCAACATATCCAGCAACTGTCCAACTTCAAACAATTGAAACCGCACACACTCGCTCAGTTTGGTCGCGTAACTGTCCCGATCCTTGGGGGCTTCGGCTAGCCAGCGTTTGATGGAGTCGAATAGCTTGTGTTCATCGTGCACTGCCAGACTTGGAAGGGAAACAATCTCCATGAATTCTGTGGGTGGGATCTGGACGAATTCTGGTTTGTCCATTATCTGTCTGACGACAATAAGGAGAAAGGAGGATTCCTGAATGTCACAAACGCTTTTATACACCGATTGGTAGTCTACTCTGGCTCAAAATATAGGTTTATAAAACCTCATGTTCAATAGTTTTCATGTCATGTCATATACTTGGTACTATCCATTCTAGACAAAACTGGATAGCTTAAAGCTGATCGTTTTGACATCTATGAACAGTTTCTCTCAGCTTTGTTTGTCAAAAAAAGGCTTCCTAACTTCAGAAAACCTAGCATCGATCAAACCAATGAGATAGTGGGAAGATATCAGTCCTCTCGAATCATAGAAATGGTGCACGTTACTATACCCCTCTGGTGGTTTGCTAATTCTTGGTTCATTCTAATTATTTTAATAAATTTTATGATATTTTGTATGTATTGTTTTATGAAATGAGGAAGTACACTTTGCACAATTTTCTTTTTAATTTCTGACCTTGAACTATGTCGGACGGTTCCAAGATGAATGCTCCATGAAATTCAAAGAGAGGCTTGTATTGAATATATGCATAAGTGTTAATACCCATAATTGAGGGTTGGATCTACTATTTACACGGACCAGTGAACAGGATATCGATCCTTGTTTTCAAGGGAATATACACATATGTGCTTAAACCACACTGACAGTTTTTGTTAAGCATATAACCGAAGTCCACACCAATAATGTAGAGGCTTTTTGAAGTCGTATCAAAAGACGCTTGAAAAACTCTAAGGGATATGCTGGCCACCTGGATAAGTGACAGTTACGCATGTATTTCCATTTTTCAATACAGATGTTTAATAACTATATCAACACCTACATACAACACATTGTTCAATCATATCCATGATAAACGTAATTTACCACTATCATACAATAGGAAGAATATTTTTGGTTTACCTTTTGTTTAGTGCGAAATACATTTATACTACTCACGAGTAGTAGGTTTTTATTCACGAAAATTGGTGCTAATGGGGTGCCTGATGGTAACGTGAGTGGGAAACGCTACAGGCTGAACACTATGCTGGAAAATAACTTGAGAAACGAGTGTGAGACGCTAAAAAGCTTGAATTCATTGTACATACATATCGGATAGCCATAATGCGCGTAGACGATTGGATATCCGTAAGTATGGAGTTACATTTAGACACCTGCTTTGCACATACAGAATGCACGTCAAATTCACAGTAAAGCGGAAAAGATTGTTTTCTTAACTTCGTTTTCAGACATTTACAGTTATGTTCGTGCATGTAAAGTAGAAATAAAGTTTATTGATTCAATTAGGTTAAATGAGAAAGAAAAACAATTTCTGCAAGTTCAATAGGGACACATGAAGAAAGGGTGAAGGGACACCAAGGTCAATCCCGGAAGTTTCCGATGACCGTTTTCACTTGCGACGTGTAAAGCCATGTTGCGTCATCAGGACATGATTGAAGTCTTGGTACAGTTCGTCACGTAGGTTTGGCGGAGCCAACAAGGAACGGTTATTACATCGATTTCCAAAGTTTCGTCTCAATCAATTCAAACGAAACTCAATGATACCTCTAGTCTTGAGAACGATGAGACAATTTTCACAAACGATCGAAGGACACGTACCGATTTCGCTTATCACGTGTTGTAAGGAAGCAATAACTGGTTGGAGTGTGGCCCATGTCACCGATAATGGGCACCAGACAAACGACGATTTATTTAGATTCATCTAAAAGGTACCCCAAAGCAAGTCTAAGTGCGTTCGACGACGGCACTTTTCAATGGCAAAAGCAGTAGCAATCGAAATCCTGAATCCAGCACTGTGCAAACAGAAGAAAATGGGTGCATAAATCGTGAAACCTAGCTTTTTCGTGCTTTCTCTCTTCAAGATTACATTATTAGCTCGCGAATAATGATGGTTCAATTCCCCATTCAGCTAACTCAAGTTCTGTTCACTCCAACTCGTCCGTAACTCACGTAAAGGAATGTCAAGTCAGTCAAGGAACGGCTTTATACACCTCGAGAGATGGATATTCAGCAACCACATAACCACAGTGTGTCAACAAAAAGTGGAAAAAACAACGATATAAAACAGCAATTAAAGGACGTGAAAAAGGACAGCAACGTCAAAAACCAATGGCATGCCCGGGTGGTTTTGATTCATTTAGTTTAGCGTTTGGCGTAAATTTCCTGCAACGAAATCTGGCGAGACAAGGGACAGTAGGCCGCATACAAACTTCAGTGCGCGTCTTTAAAAGTTTGTGAGTGGAACGGGTGGATGTGTGAGGAAGGCACTGACTAAGGGCAGAATAAAGAGGATGGAAAATATCAGATAAAATCTTGTTGGAGAATGTTTTACAAGACTTGGTGTCACCACGTAATGTACCAGATGCTCTCGTGATACGAGACTAAAAACTGACAGAAATTTAAGATCGGGAAATGAGCTTTAGGTCCTTGTTCAAAAGACCGGAGAAGATAACAGGAGACCCATAAAGCCAGTGAGGCAAAACGCACGTAAAAACAAAACACCTTATGAGATGGTTTGGAATAGAAAGTGATTTAAGACGTAAAACATAAAACGTGAGCCTCCTGCCCTTCAGAAAAACGTCATTGACGTGGTCGGACCAGGTGAGGTTACGACTCAAAATAACGCCCAGCTATTTGACGGACAATTGTCGTTTCATTTGGTCGCTGAGGATGGATAAAAGTGGGCTGCCGTTTGATAATTCATCATACTTTTGCCCTTTCAAAAAAGAAAAAATTACGTCATTACATTTTGGGGGGGTTCGTGCCGAGGTTTCTTTGTTGAGACCACTCAACTATTTCACACACATCTTCTTGTAGAGTCGTTTGAAATGGTGAGTTCGGGTAGGGCAGTACGAATATTATATCGTCTGCATACTTGACGAGAAGAGAAGAATTGCTTACAGGTGTAAAGGAAATGTAAGCAGAAAATAGAAAAGGGGATAAAATAGAGCCTTTTGAGGAGGGCAGCAGTGAACATGTACGATCTTTGTAGCCTGTGAACTGCTGACGGTTGGAGAAATAATTGGCCAAGAGTTCAAACATAGAAGGTTGAACTCCGCCCGAAGAGAGGGTATTTGACCAAATTTTGTCGATCAATTGTGGTGAAAGCATCGCTGTAGTCAAGATAACATGCGTACAGCATTGCTTTTCTTATCCAGGTTAAATAAAACAAAGTGGGATAGATAAGCAAGGGCATCCAGGGTACCACGGGAACGGGTGTATGCAAACTGGTTCGGGTCACCAACATTGAATTGTGTGAACAGGATCTTAAGGAGGAGCCTCTCAAACACCTTCAAGATAACTGAGGTGCAGGCAGTGGGACGGAATTTTGAGGATCCTTTCTTCGGTACAGCGGTGTTAGAGGGTACTCTCCAGCAGTCGGGTATACGTTGCTGCGACATACAATTATTGAAAAGTTCACTCAGTACAGGGGTAAGGAAGGCAGCACATTCTTTCAGGACAACGGGTGAGACTCCGCCGGGGCCGCAGGACATGCGAGGATTTAATTGAGCCAACTATTGATAAATATTGACAGGTGCAACGCTGGAGACGGGATCAGTGGTGTTTATTTCATATCTATTAGTTAGAGCAATGAGAGCGGTTCTGCCGTTGGTGAAACTGATTCAGCCCATCTATGCCCACCGCAGCAAGTGAGCGGTGTGAGGAGTTGATGCCAGAAATTCGCATGAGGGCTTGCCAGGTCTCACGACTCCCTTTTTTGTCAAGCGGTGCACGGGCGTATAAAGAGTTTAACCTTCGAAGTTCAGCTCGGATGGATTTATAAAGGGAGCGCACCTCTTCGCTCTTATGCATTTTGAAGGCACGCTCGTTTTTACGACGGAGTTGTTTGAGGTGTGAGGACGAGAATTGACCGGGACGAATATAAATTGTCTCTAAGTCTCTCAGGCACAACAAAAGTTTAAGTAGCTTGTTAATTGATCACAGAAAACGGAAGGGTTGGGATCAGAAAACAAACTAAGGTCGAAGCGTCTGATCATTTTCCTTAGCATCGTGAGGTTTTCTGGAGAACGCTGTCTTACTTGAAGCATGTGGTCACGACTTCCAGTAAATAGACGATGGTTCGTTCTGCTAATGATGATAGGGGAAAAATTCAATATAAAATAATCAGACATTCCCAGTGGGGGTTGGCGTTCTACAAGGAGTAAATTGGGAAGGTTAATAAAACCGGAATCCGGATGTGCGTCAAGCCTGGTGGGAAAAGTAGCAATGTTTTGAAGACCTAAGGTGATTAAGAAACAGGTATCGGAATCATTGAAGTCACCAAAAATGATACAGACTGAAGTTTCTACATATTCAATCAGTGTAGTTAGAAGAGAATCATAAAAATCATTAAGAACATGAAATGAGCAAGAGGGGGCCATATACACATTTACAAGAATAAGTGACCGAGAAAAGCTAAAATTTTTGGGCTTACATGGAATTGCTGATGCGTTTATATAACGTATGGAATAATAAAACACATTTTGATCACACCACTGACACCACTGATGATGACACCACTGATTTTTGACAAACATGATGACGACAACTCCCCGTCGGGAATAAGAAACAGAACAATTGACACGATAGCTAGTGAATCCATCCAGGTGTATGATTTCATCCTCAATTTCATTGTGGAGCCAACTTTCTTGTAGCATGATCACACCTATTTGGGCATATTCCCGTTGCTAGATTAAGCTGGTGAGACCGGCTATATTTCCGGTAAGAGGTCGGACGTTAGAATTGAGAATGCTGGGGACACAACCGAGGGAAATAGTTTGTTTCCGACGAGCAACTTCCCAACCGGCTCGATGCTTCCTCGGATTTTTCGAAAGCTCCCGGAACGTCCGTTTGCTTTTATTCCTTATAGTCTTCCCAAAAGAGGTTGTCGCTGCATATTTGGTCCATTTGATGGAATGCATGAAATCCGGGGTGTATTTGATTAAATTTGTCATTACTGTAGAAGCACAACAATCGCCTTGGCAACCAAGTAAAAGTTCATGCGAATGATGCAAAAAAACTCAGACACAATTATGGTTATGCGTTGAATAATCCGATGATGAAAAACGGATAGCACGGCCGAAATTCAAATGCCCCGCCGGCCACGAAGAGCTTAAGAATCTATCGTGAATATTGTGGGTGATGTATATATATATATATATATATATATATATAATATGAATATTGTCTTGCCTGACTAAACTTTAGGATATCACAGTGCGATAAACTATCTGATATAAGTTAACATGAGGCGACAGATATCTACAGTTCCCCAACTTCGCTCCCTCCTCCACACAGAGAACGTATATTTCGCACCCACTGAGACGAGCAACAGAAACAAAATAAATCGATCAACGAAACAGTTTTCTGAAAAATTTCCTCCAAATATGACATTAAAATGAAAAAGGAAAGAAAAAAATCGTTCGAAAGGGCTGAAAAGAAGCCAGCTCTCTCTCTCTATTCGTGCGAAACGATGACGGACTAGAAAAAATTAAGTTGTAAACGTACTACTTACTCATAATGAGTAGCACAACACTGAATGCATTCCTGTCGTAAAGTGGTACAATTGTTCGCCACGGCATGCTTCAGGATACTCACACAGGTGTCTGTATTGATGCATCCACGTATATAGTCCATGCTCACTTGACTCAAGTAGTTCACTTGTAGCTGAACAGCGGCCGTGTGTATCTCTACTGCGGTCCGTGGATTCAACGTAATCTCTAATGGTTTCGAAAGGGAGGGAACAAACAAGGAGTGGCACCATTTACGTCGTGAGTGGAAATTCTCACCAAATTATAATTCATATATCTTTAGTTCTACCAAAGCAAATTTAAATAACCACATTAAAACTAATTGCATTTGGATGAATGAAATTCCAAATGACTTGTGTACAGTAGGCTTTGAACCGGAAGCGTTTGACCGCGTTTACGATCAACCATCAAAGTGTTTTCATCCTGCTAACCGAGTCAATATAAATTTGTCACTGCATGTCGAGCGATTACTGAATTGTCCCGGCAGAATTTATGTGCGTCTGTGAGTTAGCTCTATCGTTCGATGCTAGCTCATTGATCAAACTCCACTGTTGACTGTCGATGAAAGGGAGTAGAACAATCCTATTTCGTGCTGGAATGTCTCGAAGGAACACGAATACGAAAACGCAAATAGTAAGTTAAACCGAATTTATATCGTATATTTCTGGACAGCTACTCAAACAAATACTTTTCAGTAGAATTGAATGATTAATGTATTGCATATAATCGGTAAACTATGTTAAAGTATTAAGCCTCAAGAGAGATCACGTAATTCGTACGTTGCCTAATGGCAAAATCAGTCATTCCCTTGGGACCATAGTTGCTGAATTAATGGGTAATCGGTAAACACGGAGTTCTCGTTGTGGCAAAGTAAAGCACTTTTTGTTTAGTTGAATTAGTTTATCAATCTGGACTAAGAGCTGAAGTGAGCATGGGAAGCGCAACCGGATTTTCTAACACATATTATAGCATTCTCTGGGAATGTAGTACCTTCTTTTTGAAAGATGGTCCTTGTTGTGTATTGTCCGAACGTACGAGCGCCTCTTGCTCAGGCTCCAACAACAACGCGGAGAGAGAACATAACTCGAGAGAACAGTCAGAGTATTAAGTGTCGATACGCAAATCAGGTATACGAGAACGGCACAGAGACAAATTTAAAAATTTTTAAAAAATAATATGAATGTGCTAACTTCGATGGGATTCGGCCACATGTTGTGTTACTGGGTCCCCATTATGAGATAGGTTAAGAAAAAACCCTTGGACTTCAATCTATTCGCATACCACTGATCACTCAAATGGCATCCGTTACGATACCCTTATCTGGGTGAGTAACCGGATGAACACTGTTCTGCGTCTAGGGTAGTTGCAAACAAGATAAAGTTAATGAAATTCACACAATAGTAAGTCACATGTCGTGTTTTTATATTCATTAAACTGAATCAAAACTTCTGATTTTGGTCAGAACCTGATCAATCATCCTCTTCAGTTGTTAGATAGCAACTCTTCGTTTTTGGTAACCAGGCAGTAGACTTGCGCACAAATTTCAGACTCGAACGGAGGATTGAGATTTTCAACCACCACCGTAGCCTCCACCTGACCTTATAATACTCTAATCAATAAGATACACAATAGTAAATACATATACATCCATGTGTTAAAGGAAACAGTCAATTCGATCGTTCAGAGCCGTGTGCTGGTTCAAGATGATCAGTAGTGGGAAAATAAAATGCTGGAATTCAGTCCCGATAGGACTGGTTGCTGATCCGGAACACTAACTAATTCAAACTGTCCGAGCTTGCTATCAGTCGCTTAGTTTACGCTCGCGCCGCGTGTTTCAGTTCTCCCTAGTCAACCTGATCAAACGGACTGGACTTCACACCGGATCATGGCCTGATGCCTGATAACTTCGTAGTAGGACTGCAACAAAAAGGGAACAGAAAATCCGTGCACACGTTGCCCGAGTTTTGGCTCATTGTGAATTTATTTCACTGACCCGGTTTGTAGGCAAGAGTTCAACATTTGTTTGTTTTTTGTTTTTTTTTTTGAGAATTATGAGGTATACACAGTTTCGTCACTGTGCACGAGACTCCGTGTTGACGGGGACTGACTATTCTCCGCACTCACGCACTGCCCTAGATCCATCCAACCAAAATCTTACTCCGGGAAAAAAATTAAGGTAAAATTTCTATATCGTGTTAGAACGCATCACGAGTGTGTACAGTGTGTACAGTGTGTGTGTGTGTGTGTGTGTGTGTGTGTGTGTATGAGTGTGTGTATGCATCGATGCATCCGGGATCGGAATTCCCAGTCCCTCATACGTTTCAACTGAACACAGACTCGCACTGGGGCTGACCGAAATGTCCATTACAAGTTTGCTCCGGTATCATTTTCCATAAAAGCCAATTAGTTGTCTTTTCTTAGAAAAACATTCCGTTTTTCTTTCATTCATCATCGTTTTCCAATTATTTTTTTCAATAGCAATATCAGCTTGCACACAAATTACTGATAAATCATGGATGAAGGACAGTCTACCGGTGGAAATGATCTCTTTTTGTGTTTACCAGTTTACTTGCTCCTGTGGTGCCAGTTGCGTTGGTCGCACCACCAGACACCTGGCCGATCGAACGAGAGAACACCACCTAGCTTGGCTCAGTCGGGGACCGATAAAGGCAGGTCCGAGTGTGTTTGCTATACATCTGACCAAGACGAATCACACCATGGATGTGCGAGAATCGTTCCGTCCAATCGGATTCGGTCTAAGGATGTGAAAGCCTGATTGTTATCTACCGCAGAGGCGATAGCAATTAGAATAAACAAACCTCCATTATGTGCAAAGGATTATCACCGGTAAGTGTTGAAAAGATGAAACACTGAAACCAAACTTGTTCACCACATCTCTGTTGTTCTAATGAATCTGTCGGAATTATTCACTCATCTGAACAGAAATATAAAAAAGGCCATCTATTTAAAATGTAACGCACAACAGAGTTCATTGCTGAAGTAAATCAGATTCACACTGTCCAATTTTCACCCACCTTGAGGTTGATTAGCCGCACTTCCTGTTGCCCGTTTAACGGAATGCCCCGCTGTAGAACTGTCCAATACCAGTGAGTTGAACAGAAAGTGAACATTTACACTCACTCATTATTCACAAGTGCATTTCATCTCATGCATATCCATGCACATGTGTTTGAATATTGACCAAAGATGTGACAAACCACCTGTCTTTCTTTCTTTCTTTTCGAATTTCATTGTCTCGTGTGTGGGCGTGCATGCACTCACTCACTGTTCGTGTTTATCCGAATTCTAAGCGCGCGCGCTCGTTTTACTCTTCGATCGATGATCGCGGGTCACGGGACTGTTTCTTTTCTCACCTCACCTTAGTTTTGTTTTCTGACTCGTATTATCAACCACATGTGCTATGTATATACATACATATATATACTCACAAAATATACGCTAACAGTTTGCGTAACGAGTAAGAAAACGAGCGGAGTTCAACAACACGATTGGTGCACAACAATGACTTTCGTCCTGGCATGCCCTGTTCGACGGAACTCGGATATCATCACATCTTCACCAGATCAACACAATTTCACGTGTGTTTATGTGTGTTCGTGAGTGAGTGAGTGAGTGAGTGAGTAAGTGTGAGCCAGTGGTTAACTCCTGGCTGGGTGATGTATCGGTGTTAAACAGTATATGTCGATATAACTGAAGAGGAGTGAATGTGCTGTTCTGTGCAGCATGTTATTTTACTTAAATCCTTTAGCACCAGAATTACTTCACCACCTCTCGTTCCAAATAAAAATCAATCTCTATTTACAACTCAAGAAAAGCGTCTGAAAGTACAAATGGCCATACTGTGATAGCATTCGTGTGAGGAATATAAATAAGTCAGTGAACGACTTCCCAGCGGATTACCGAACACGCAGACAGCTCACGAGCGAGATAGATAGCAAAGGGGATGACATATTTCCCGGGAAATTTTTTTGTCCAAATGACCAATATATTTATTCAAAGTGAGTTTTGCTCTTTTTCCGGACGAGAACAACTCGCAGTGGTGAACAATTCCGTTTGCGGTGAGTCATCTACAAGCTAGTATATATCACAAGTTACATCAAAAAGTTATCACGGGGAGGTCATTACAGAATAAGGGATAAACAGTAACTTCACATTAGAGATCTGTGACAGTATGTTGCGCATACTGGTTACCACACATACGTATCAGCTATGGTCATTAGGGGCGGCTGGTAAAATGGCTGTGTCGTACATATGGTATTGGTCACGGTCATACAAACGGT